TTGTAATAAGGCCTTGGATCATTCAAGACTTTAGATTTAAAATTTTGTTGTCTTGAACAAACGTTAACCTTAGGTTCTGGACCTTTAAGAACCTTGTAACTTGATATCTTAGGTTCTAGCTTCTTTAGAACTTTTGACTTTGAAGTCTCAAGTTCTGTATTTTAGAACTTTTGACTTAAGAATCATTGGTTCAGATATCTTTAGAACTTTTAAACTTGAGGTATCAGGTTCTAATTTCTTTAGAACCTCTGACTCTAAAATTATATGCTTTGTCTAGTTTAGAACCTTAGCATTAGTAGTAGGTACAAAATGAGAGTACAACCCTTTTTTAGCAGAGCCTGAAGAAGAAGGATATGATGGTTTAATCATGGTCTCAATCCTTGGATTAAAATGTCTTTGATGATAACCAAGACATTCTCCTTTTCTTGTACTTACACCATAGATCATGGATACAAGTTTGGTTCTAGTAAAGCCAATAATGACAAACTCTTGAAGAGCTAATTCATACTCATTAAGAGGTTTGTCAGACATATCCTTTATTAAATCAATCTGATCTCTTTCTAGTTTTTGAAATCTTATTCTTAGAGAAATTTAGTTTATCTTTCATAAGATCGTATTGCTTTTTTATAATTTTCATATGTCTAGATTTTTTATGACATCTACCCATAAGGTTTTGACATAAATTAATTAAATCAGATCTAGAGAGTTTAGATAATACCTCATCCGCATCCTCTGAATTTGAGTCAGAATCAACTTCTGATTTTGTGTCTGAGAATGTTCAAGTCATAAAAGCTATATTTGCTTCTTCTTCATTCTTTTCAGATTCTTTTTAATCATTAAGTTCATCCCAAGTTTCCATGAGAATTTTCTCGAGCTTGCTTCTAAAGTTGTTCTTTTGGAAGCTTTCCTTTTTAGCTTTGTCCTTCTAAAGCACTAGACAATCAGCTATAAAATGACCAGGCTTCTGAATGTTGAAGCATCCTTTCTAATCATCTTTGTTAACTCTGGAGTTTGTTCCTATGAAGCCATATCTTCTGCCATAGAACTTTTTGCTCTTGTTAGCAAGATAGTGAAACCTATTTATGATGAAAGCCATTTCATTATCATCTAAATCTTCTTTAGAGGCTTTAACGTGATTGGCTTCCTTATGCTCCTAAGTCTGAGAAGATTTCTCAGACCTCCCAATAAATTTCAAAGCCAGAGGCTTTGATTTCTTGGTTAATTCTTCATATCCATTGAGTTCTAACCATGGCTTTGGAGATTACTAATTAGAATTTCAAGACTGATGTTGTTCAGTTCTTTAGCTTGCTAAGTAGCTGTCACATTTGGTTTGTACCTGACAGAAAGACTCCTAAGAATCTTCTTGACATGATCAGAAGTGGTGTAGCTCTTGTTCAAGACTTGAAGTCCAGACACAAGAACTTAAAACATTGAGAACACGGTTTCAATGTTTTCATCTTCTTTCATTATGAACAACTCATATTATTGAACTAGAAGATTTGATTTGGATTCTTTAACCTTTTAGTTTCCTTCATAAGTAGCACATAAAGATTCAAAAATGGTTTTGGCAGTAGACTTGTCAATGATCTTTATGTACTCAAAATGAGGCAAAGCAACTACGAGAATGCCTCTCACTCTATGATGTTTTATGTAAATCCTCTTTAGAGAAAGTGTGAGAGTTTTTCTATCAGTTATTATTCCTACTCCATTCATAGGAATATCAATGCCATCTTCAAGAATATCCTACAACTCATAATGAAGACTTATGATATGTGTGTACATCTTGCTTTTCCACCATTTAAATTCAGTAGAGTTTTCAATGAATGTTGGAGGTCTAACAACATAGGTGATCTTTTTAGATGAACTATAATCATGACTAGCATTACCAAGAGGAGTGGGTTGAGGACCAGGACCACCATCACCAGAGTGACATGATTATAAGTGTTTTTCTCAGGATCTTTTCTATACCACTATTAAGTGTTTAGAATAGACCTTACTCTGATGCCAACTGAAGGTGAGAAAAACACAAGAAGGGAGTTGAATTGTGTCTTCCTTGTCTCTCTAACTTCTTCTTTTACTTCTAATTGATCTTAATCAGATTCTGAACACTTGGTTCAAAGTCTGAATCAGAGTCACTAAGAGTTTGAACTCTTGAAAATCTTTATCAGATTCTGAAACAAAATCTGACTCAGAGGTAAACAAATGATACCAGTGGAATATAGTTCAGAAGCAGGTAAAGTAAAGCAAGAGAACAAGCAGTTATCCAATTTCCTCTCACAACTTGAGAGTAGTCCATCCCCCTTGCACTTCCAAAGGATTTCCACTATAACCATACTGATTACAAATGCTCAAGAACCAAGCAAGAGACTTCCAATGCTCAAACTCAAAGTAAGAGACTTTAATTCTCAAGCACACAAACAAGATACTTCCAATGCTCAAACCGTCAAGTAAGATACTTTTATGCTCAAGCAAACAGACAATAGACTTCAAATGCTTGAGCACTAAAGCAAGAGACTTCTGCCTCTATAATAAACTATTAAGAGATTTGAGTAACAACTACACTTGATATACAGTCAGAGGTGTAGACAGAATACAACTTAGAAAGACTCTAAAACTTAAGAACATCTAAAATATACAATTGTTAAGATGTTCTAAGTCTAAAAAATTTGACAGACTAACTTCTCTTTGAAATGTCAAGGTTTAGAGTATGTATAGCAGTGTTATGTATTCTTTTGTAGTATAGTAGTCTTCTTCATCACTTTTGCTCCTTAAATAGAGAAGAAGAAAAGAGTCATTGAAGACTTTCACTAAAAGGTTGACCTACCTCTTTACTTGATTAGACACATCAAGAAATCACCTCTCTGCAAAAGATATATGAGTTTGTTAGAGTTGCCTTGATTGAAGAGACAATGCTTCAGAGGTTGACTTTCTTTAGACTTCACTCTTCAGAGGCTGATCACTTCATAGTCTACCTCTTAGTTTCTAAAGCTTCAAAGTCTGGACCACTAAAGACTGATTTTTTTCAGAGTTGACTTCTTCCGAGTTTGGATCTTCCATCAGAGTTAGAGGCAGAGTCTTCGAAAATGATCTTCAGAAGCAGAGTCTGATATGCAGAACTCTCAAGCTTTTTTTTATCTGTCCTTAGACTTACAATCTTGCATACTTATTTTGTGTGTTTGGATTTTTATCCTCTCAATTTACAAAATAATAATAATAATAATAAATATATTTATTATATTATAACATTTATCAACCGACTCAAAAGTAGAACCTACCAAACTTGATATTTGTGAACTATTTTTGTGAACTATTTTAATCAGATTGCTTTTTGATTTTATAATTTTTAACAATCTTAAAATAAATTTTTTCTTTCGTGACTAAAAGTATACTTCTACGATTGATAAATAATATTATGTAAAAATTTGTAAAAATAATTAAAATGAATATAAAAAATTTCCAATTTTTTTCTTTTGATAGTGGTTAAACTCTGGGTCAACCGTTTGTATTCACTTACCTCAACTAGTAAATACAACTGGGCTACCCACCAATGAAATAAAAATTACATTATGGTAGTATGACTTTTAATTAAATGCATGTATAAATCTGTTATAAATAGTTTGCAGCTTAGAATGTGTATTGATAGAAATAGAAAATCTAATTTGGAAATACACAAATTATTAAAAAGGTTTGCAGCTTAGAAATCAGTTTCGTAAAAGTTTGAAAGACGTAATAAAATATCTTAATATTATGATACGAAACAAAATAATAATGTGACCGTAGTACAGCGACTCATACACAACTGAGCTGTCAATCTTTGTAAACACGAGTGGGACTGCCGTTTCTTATCACTCTATCTTTTTAATGAATGGGCAGAATGTAAAGCCTACAGCACATCAAAGGAGACTATCTCCAAACGCATTACTTTCCAACTCACCATTATATATATATATATATATATATATATATATATATATATATATATATATATATATATATATATATATATATATATATATATATATATATATATATATATATATATATATATATATATATATATATATATATATATATATACATTTGTTTATTTTATGCAAAACGGGTTAATTATGATTTTGATGGGGGTGCATATATAAACTATTTTATTGGTTAAGTGATCTATTTTAATTAAAGATTGAGTATCTAAAATCTGATTGGTGTGGACAAAAGTGTGAACTTTAACCTTGACTCATAATGGATTGAGACTAAGGTTATATATATTATATGATTAGGTCCCCTCCGCAATCACAAGAGAATCAGAAATACTGACGGCTCGACAACTTGCCTCATTGAGAATTGTGAACGGGAGTGTGAGATATAGAGGAACATCCAGTTATTTATCCTTTCGGGATTTCAAATAATGACTTCAACAAGTAAGTTTTGATGTTTTAATTTCATATAATCGATTATTGAATATTTTCATTTACATTTGGTATCAGAGCTTGTTTATATGAGTTATGACTCAATTAATTGTAGTTTATATATGATTATGGATTGCGTATGCTTTTTGTTTTAATTGTCTTTTTTCAATTGATATTCAATTATTGATATGTTTCTTCTCAATTGATGCGACACAATGCTTTTTATTTTTTAATTGCCTCTTTTCCTGGGTCACGTGAATTGATATATACATATTATAAAACCAATTGAATCAAGTAATAAACATTTGTATTGTTTAACACACAAAAAAACAGAAATACAATCAGTGGAGGAATAAAGAAAGAGGATGAGCTGTAAATGATTTGAATCAAAATCTATTCAAAATAGATAAATGGGATTCAATTGATGGCAGAGTTCAAAGGTGAGGTTTTAGACATCTGCATAAAGTTAAATGGGATTCGTTTCCATTAGGTGGAGGTCATATGGAAGGAGGGAAAATTTTTCAATCTTTCCTTTTTTCTGAGTTTCCTGAAAGAGTTAAGGCTAGTGAGATCTTTCAACTCTTTGGTAAGTTTGGAAAGATGGTGATTCCCCCCAAGAGGAATAAGTTTGGAAAACGGTTCGGTTTCACTAGATTCTCAGAGGTTGAAGATGGCAGGATCCTTGCAGTCAAACTTGAAAACATCTTGATTGATAATGTCAAAATTCACGCCAAGATTCCCAGATTTTCAAGAGGGCAATCTAATCGCAAGGAAGAAACCAAGAGAAGAGGGGTCAATCAAAACTATAACGACGGGAATGCAACAGGGAAGAAGAGTTCTGGTCATCCTAATAGTAAGGTTGGAGCTAGATCCTTTGCAAAAGTGGTCAACGTAGCAGGTGCATCTTCGACGACTTACATTCCTCGCAAAACGCCGGTTCATATTAGTTACAATCTGGAAGAAGATGACATCTTTAGACTCAATAAAGCTTATGTTAGAGTGGTCAACAGTCCTGACATGTCTTATAATATACAAACAAGTTTCAAAACCAAAGGCTACTTTTCTATCAAAGTTACTCCGCTTGGGGCGAATTTGTGCTTATTGGAGGAGAGCGAGGAAGGAGAGATCAGAGACTTGATAAGGGAGGCAAAATCTTGGTGGAAACAATGGTTTTCAAATATCAGAAGATGGAGATAAGATGATGTGGACAAGGAGAGGGTTACTTGGTTACGTTGCTAATTCCATATCATGCATGGAACTTCAAATTTTGCGAACTCTTGGCCAAAACGGTGGATAGCTACATGTGTGTTGATGGGAACGCGCTAAAGGGAAGTTTCATGGACATTGCTCGTATTATGGTAAGAACTAATTGCCCAGTTGTCTTGAACGAAACTTTCAAAGTCAGGATTAAAGGAGAGGTTTTCTACATCAAAATGACAGAGGACTCGCATAGGCCTCTTCGCATTCTTGGAAATTCAGTTAGGAAGAATGAGGAGGTTAAAAACTTTTCTTATGACTCGGAGGATAACTGAAGAGATCTTGGAGACAAAGATGATGAAGATGCCATTTTTTAGACTCAGAAGCAGTTGATTGATCTTGAGGAAGGAGAAATTCGTACATCACTAACCAGGGTGACAGCTGAGATGAGAGCGATGGGGGACTTAGAGGGTGAAGTAGCGGTACAGAGTGGTAATGATGTGCCTAGGAGTTCTAATTATGGGACTAAACGGTAAACCTTTGCTTTTGACGCAACTATTGAGGTAGCAAAGGTGACTAAAGCATTTGAGGGTTCGTCTGAGGACAAGATGGATAAAGTTAGGTCTGCGTGCAAAGATTTTGAACCTTTTAGGAATTCTGAACTTGGGAGTCGTGTACTCATAAACTTGTCCTGTAGTGGTAACCTTTTGGCTCCCAAAAAGTTAAAATTGAAAAAGGTCATGGATGTTATTGGGCCTAATCCTAAAGCCAAATCTAAGAAGAAAAAGGTTAAGAGAGTTTTGGGCCTTATTTCTTTGGATGGCCCAATTGATTTTAAAGATCCTATTGAGGATTTCTCTTTTACGAACAAGGTTGCGTCATTGCTTGGGCAATCTACTTCTCTTTCAATTGATTCTTTTAAGTTCTCTGCGGGTGATATCCTTTGTTGTGATCAAACAACTGATTCGGATGTTAGAGTTGGCAACAATAAATTTTGGGATCAGATGGAATCTAATGTAGGAGACAAAATTTGGAACGCGACTTTAAACCTTGGGGTTGTTGCTGAAGACATTTCAACTGATTTCCCGAAGAAATTAAATGAGATGGAAGGTAAAGACAAAGCCAAAATTAGTGGAAAGAAGGAGACTATCAAAACTAATAAATGATTAGTGTATCTCTTAACATTAGATGTGGAGGGAATCTTTCCAAGAGGAAGAGAATTAGCAAGATCATTTTTTCAGGTAAGGCTGAAGTTTTTTTCAACACAGTTTATCTAAATTGAAGGTAGTAGATAATGTTGTTATTAAGAGTCTCTGGAACAACTGTGAGATTGGTTGGTCTTTTAGCAAAGTCTTTCTGGGGGAGCTATCACTGTTTGGAAGGATTCCTTTGTTCAACCCATTTTCTCTTTTATAGGAAAGGGTTATCTTGGAACTAAAGTGGAGTGGAATTCATAAACTTTCTATCTGGTTAATGCTTATTCTTCCTACGATATTCAGTCTAACAGGAAGTTGTGGAGAGATTTAATTGATTTAAAGAGGAGATTTTCAGATGGGGCTTGGATCATGGGAGGGGATTTCAATGCTATATTCAAAAGCTCTGAGAGGAAGGGTCGAAGCATATCTAACAGAAGCTCAGAAGTTAGGGAATTTGAAGCTTTTATTTTTTAATCTAGTTTGGAAAATATGCTTATTTTTGGAAACATATTTACTTGGTATAGTGGTGATGGTCATTCTATGAGCAGAATTGACAGGTTTTTAGTTGACAATTCCATCATCAGCAAATGGGGTATGATAGGCCAAACGGTAGGAAAGAAGGAAGTCTCGGGTCATAGTTCAATATGGGTGCGACTTAAGTTCTTAAACTAGGGATACAAACCTTTCAAAACCTTTGACTGTTGGTTTGATCACCCTCAGTTTCTTGAGTTTGTTGAAAAGCAATGGAAAGAGATTAAAGTTGTAGGTAGACGTGATTTTGTCATCAAATAAAAATTCAAAGAATTGAAGGTTAGGATTAAAGAGTGGAGTCTTAAAGTGTTTGGCTGGTATGATCTGAAGGTTGAGGAGGGAAAAGAAGAGATGAATGAGATTGATCTTAAGCTTTCCTATTGTGCTAGGTCTGAGGTTGGAGAGCTTATGGAGAAGAGGTCGGAGGCGTGTAGGCAGATGTGGAGGAATCTCTACATCAAAGACAACTTAATTATTCAAAAAGCTAGAAGAAACTGGTTACTTAAAAGAGATGGTAACACCATATTTTATCACAATTTCATCAAGGGTGGGCAGAAAATAAGTTTATAGGAGCAGTGGAAACTGAGTTAGGAAGAGTTGAATTTGTTGAAGAAGTTAAAGAAGCTGTAAAGAATTTCTTTAAATCTAAATATGTTGAACCTGATCTTTCCAGACCTTTTTTGAAAGAGGAATGTTTCAATAAGTTGATTGAGGCGGAGCCTAATATTTTAGAAGTTCCTTTTTTTGAAGAGGAAATTCGAGAAGTTGTTTGGGGTTGTGATGGCTCAAAAATCCCGGGGCCTGATGGATACAATTTCGTCTTTTTCAAGAAATGTTGGTCTTTCTTAAAGAATGATATCTTTAACTTTCTGAGAGACTTTCATCATCATGATTTTCTACCTAAAGCTATCAATTCTTATTTTATTACTCTTATTACCAAGGTTGACAACCCTTTGCACCTTGGGGAATACAGACCAAGGTCTCTACAAAATTTTGGTGAAGCTTTTAGAGAACAGAATGAAGAAGGTGATTGGAGGTCTGATTTCTCAATGCCAAACAACGTTCGTTCCTGGGCGACAAATGCTTGCATGGGTGGTTATAGCCAATGAAATAGTGAATATGGCAACTAGGGAAAGTAAAGATTGATTACTTTTCAAGGTGGACTTCGAGAAGGCGTATGACTGCGTTAACTGGAACTTTCTTCGTCACTTACTTGTTTCCATAGGATTTGGAAGTAAGTGGAGAAAATGGATGGAAGCTTGCATTTTCAATAGCCATGTCTCGCTCTCTTTCTCTCTTGGTGAATGGTAGTCCTACCAAGGATTTCACAGTAGAGCGGGGTCTTCGTCAGGGAGATCTCTTTCTCCCTTCTTATTTGTTCTTGTTTTTGAAGGTCTATCTCAATTAATGAAAAATTCTCCCGCTTATGGTTCTTTTCAGGGTTTTGAAGTTAGACCGAATCTTTGGGTGGATATCATAAAATTCACTAACGACACCCTTATTATTATAGAAGGCAGCTAGCACAACCTTTGGAGTATTAAATCTATTCTTAAAGGTTTTGAACTCGTTTCGGGGTTAAAGGTTAATTTCCATAAGAGTAGGATCATGGGTATTAATGTGAGCCCTCATTTCCTTGAAGTTGCCTCGTCTTTCTTAGTGTGCATGATCAATCAGCCTTCTTTCCATTTTCTGGGCATTCACATTGGAAGCAATCCCAGAAGAATCAAGTATTAGGATTTCTTGGTTGATATATTCAAAAACAAACTGGATTGTTGGAAAGGGAAATGGCTCACTCTGGCAGGCAGGGTCACTTTGATTAATTCAACCTTATCAAGTCTCCCTATTCTCTGAGATTTTTTCTTCAAGGTTCATGTGACTGTTCTTAAGAGGATTGATATTTTAAGGAAAAGATTCCTTTGGGGAGGGCAAGAAACGAAATCGAATATTCATTGGGTGAGGTGGGAGGTTGCTTGCAGCCCTAAGGAAAAAGGTGGTTTGGGAATCATGGACTTGGTAACTTCAATTTTTCTCTTCTCTCGAAGTGGAAGTGGAAGATTTTGGAAGACAAGAATGCATATTGGAAGGAGGTGTTGAGAGGTAGATACAATTTTCTAGAGGAAAAGATCTTGGTGGAGACTCGAAACTCGTCGATATCCTCTTTAGTTTGATGGAAGGACCTAACCAACTTGGGGGAAAATTCTTTTAACTATTTTTTCTCTTTTGCATGTTTCGTTTCACACTTTTTGGATGACGGGAAGTCGATACCTTTTTGGTCTGCTTCATCGATTTCCGCTTTACCGCTGGCTGTTAACTTTAAGATATTGTTTGGTAAAAGCATTGCTAAGAAGAATTCAGTGAGATCCATGGGTGATTTCATAGAATGAGTGTGGTGTTGGGGGGATTTTGGCTTGCCTACTGATAACGCGAAATCATATCGTTTATTTGGCTTGATTTACATGCATTTATTTGTGACTTTTATTAATTTATCTTGATTTATGTTCTATTATATGATTAATTTACTTCGTTTTGCAGATTGGGGAGAATTTGGACTAAAGAAAGAAAAGGAGAAGAAACAGATGAAAAACGGATGAAAAATAGATGAAAAATAGCAGATACGGATTCTGCTGCTGTGACGACCGTCACAGGTCCATGGCGACCGTCATGCGTGTGACGACCGTCACGCAGACAAAAAACGCAGAATCAGAATTCACGATCAATCTCAACTTAAATCCTTCCTACACTTTCTCCACTCACTGCCCACTACTGGAAGTTACTACACTTTCTCCACTCACTGCCCACTACTGGAAGTTACTACCACTTTCTCCATATCTCACGCATGATCTCAGGAAGTTGAGATAAGAAACATCTCCTATAAATAGACAAGAGACTCACAGAGAAAGGGGTGGATTCTTCATCCCGAAGTTCTGCCAAAGTTCCATCAAAGTTATTTATCGTTACTTTTATTTTCCTTTCCATTTTCCTTCAGTTCAGAATATTGTATTTATTTCCTGTACCTTTTATTTCTCGCCAAAGTAGAATCCTGCCGACATTGTGGGGGACTACCCAAGGATTTGAGATCAGTACAATTTACAGGTTTTTATTAATTGAATTACTACTTTATTTCTGTTATGATGCACGCTTTATTATTCCGTTGTTTATGTCTATTTCCGTTCGCATTAATTATCATGTCTAGCTAAGTTAGTTTTATCGGTATGTAACCGAATTAGTAGGATAGGATTTAATAATAACCGGTTGAAAACTTTCCTTTTCAAA